GCCCCCCCCCCCCCCCCCCCCCCCGTGTCCACCTCACCCCCAGTGGCTCCTTCCAAACAGGTGAAGGCGGAGCTCGTCAGAGGCCGAGCTCGACTGAGGAGCAGCAGCGATGGGAGCAGGTACGGCAGGAGAGACTCGAGCACCTCCTCCTCCTCCTCTTCTTCCTCCTCTTCAACACTCTCCAACCCCAAATCAGGTAAAACACACACACACACACACACACACACACTCAGGTCAGTATTGTGGCGTTTCCTGCCAGCGCTGTCACTGACGTTGACTTTCTGTCTGGTCAGTCCTGAAAAGACCAGTGAGCACAGATGAACTGCAGACTCCAGGAGGTCCGTACACCAGGAGGAGCTTCACCGTACGTCAGCCACACACTGTTCTGATGGAAAAATAATCCAGCAGATTATTAGTGATATAAATGTGTGTGTGTGTGTGTGTGTGTGTAGATCGTGGGCGACGCTGTGGGTTGGGGTTTCGTGGTCAGGGGAAACAAACCGTGTCACATCCAGGCCGTGGAGCCATCTGGCCCGGCGGCCGCTGCAGGCCTGAAGGTAGGCATGCTGGGAAATGTAGTGTGAGAGGTTGGTCTCGGTTTAACCACAGGACCTGTTCCTCCCACCAAGGTCCGTCAGTTCGTGGTGTCGGTGAACGGTCACAACGTTCTGGATCTGGACTACCACAGCGTCAGTCACCTGATCCTGACTGGACCCAGGACGGTGGTGGTGGAGGTGATGGAGGAGACCCACCACTGAGGGGCGACACAGAGCAGAGGGACCACAGTTATTCTTTGAGATGATAAAGTCTGTGGGACTGTGGTCAGGCCATGGTTCAGACCTGGTCTCAGACTCCACTGAGCTGAGGATAAACACAGATACAGATACAGAAGAAGTATTTTTGGTTAATATTACTACAGTGTACTGTAGTACAACGCAGCAGTACACGTCGCTCTAATATAACCGGCTGAAGAAACAATGAAAATTACCCCATGAGCAGAATTCTATTAGGATGTGGGGGGGGGGGGGGGAGGGGTCACGACCCTGAATAGGCAGGGAGTTTCATGTTTGTTCACGTAGGTATGACACTGTACTTTATACTTGTTATAGTTCAACATGTGACTGTAGGTGACACTGATGTAATGATGTCCATGTGTCACAGACAGAAACACGGGTGTAAATAATGTTTCTAAATAAACTTCTGACTGAAACCACAACCGTCTTTGTTCCATGACCGTTGACGTGGACGGGATCTGGCGAGGAAACGTTTCTTTTCCACTCACTGCAGCCACGTTCCTGTGGAATTCCAGTGGGATTAAAGGAAGATTCCAGGTGAGTGACTTCTGCCTGTGAACCTGTTTCAACATAGTCCACTTACTCACACTAACAGAGGTGCAGCAGCGGCAACAGCCTGCGGGGGGCAGCAGTGAGACGCACACTGACGCCAACCATCAGGTTCATGTCTTCTCTGGAGAAATGGAAACAAGTTAATGATTTCTTTAATGATAGTTTA